CACGGGCTGCTGGCGGTACCCCTGGGCTATCCCCAGGCCTTGCCTTCTCTGTGGGAGGCGCCTTCTTTGGCAAGCCGCTTCCTCCAGGCGGTGCCTTGGGCGCATGCGCGGGGAAGGCAGGTGTGATCACCGGTACGGCACTGTGGCCGACCGCAGGCGAGGTCGCCATGGCACTGTGGCCAGGCTCCGGCGCTGCTGAAATCTTCGGTGCAGCCTTTGCCGTCGGGGGCGCCTTCTTAGGCAGCTGCCCCTCCTCTGCGGCCATCGCGGCGGGCTCCGTGTCTCCTACGGACGTGCCTACCATGCAATGATTCGGGAACGCTACGCTTATACGTCGCTTAGTGTTGTTGCGATTCTCAGCTGTCGTTGTGAAGCTGTGACCGTGGCCTACGCCTACAGTGCTATGACCATGGCCTGCATCTACAGTACTGTGACTGCGACTTGTTGCCACTGCGTCATCTGCCGCTGTTGCATCTCGAGGGGTGCTCACAGACTCTGAGTGAGCTAAGGCGGCGGCGGCGGCAGACCTAAATATAGGAACTGGCGGTGAGGGAATTTGGAAGCTCCTTATGAGACGGGGTTGTTTCACCTGAATCAAACCTTCTGTTATGTTTATGCATAACAGCCCTGAGTCATGTGTCCGACACAGCTTGATCCTAATGATGCTATCCTCAGAAGGAAGTCGAACACCACACTCACCGAACCGAAGATCCTTGGTTATACCAAGTTGGGCCTGGGCGTAAAGGGACAAAAGGAGAGGGGCTGTACCCTTAATCTCGTGAGAATCAAGGACGCCCGGAACTCTCAAGTCCTGCTCCAATCCCATTATAGAGAAAGGTATGGTCCTGCTACCCAGGGTTTCGGTAGCACCGCTAAGACCCTTGAAGGTACGATTGCCCTCAGGTTTAAACCTCGTGCTGTAACCGAAGTTCGCAAGTTTCCCCGCCGCGTTTGCTATCCAATCGCTACCGTGAACAGTCGAGTTACAGCCCTCATCCAACACGGCGTATACGTGCTTATCCTCGTAGATATTTACTACGGGCAAATCAACCAAAGCCGGATGGATATCTGTGACCCCCTCAGTGAAAGCCACGAAGGCGTGCCTCGTCGCGGAGGCCCTCGAGGAGCGCGATCTCGCCGACGCCACTTCCCAACTGTTGTTGGTCGATGACGCAGAGTGATCATCTAAGGCCTCTTGCAGATATGCGAGAAGGTCACCGCGGGATATCACGGGCTCGGTTACGAAGTGACCCTCTATGGTCTCTTGAAACTGGGCAATAGCCGGAACTACTACCTCTACGGGGAGGCTATCCCCCGTGCTGCCGACTATGCTGCGCAGAAGATCGAAGTCCAGGGTGTTGGACTCCCGCAGCACTGTGGCTGCGTCATCCCTAGCCTTTCGCTCGGTCTGCGGCTGCTCATCTAGAAGCATCCCACAAAGCTTGCACTTAATGCGGGAGGTCTTCCTACTGCTACCCGACCTCTCGGTGGAGGTGTGGGGGCATGTGGCCTGGTCTATGACAGGCTTCTCTTTCTTCGTCTTGGTGACGGTGCCGCATTTCTTACAGGTCCGCATGTCTATGTATGCGTTACTCCCCGACTTGTTGAACTCCTTGCAACCTCCCCGGCATTTCCGGGGGCCTTCGCTGGACGAAGCAGCTGACGCGGCGAGGCGAACCTCGGGCTGAAAGGGTTCAGGCGGGGGCTCCTGGCTGAGAGGGACATCCCTTCTCGTGATGCTAATGGGGTTGTCATCACGCACATCAAAGTACTCCGTGACCCAATCCAAGAAATCGGCCAAATTTATGGATGGGCACTTCTGCGTGCGTCCCCAAAGAACATATCCAGGAAACGTATACAAGACACGCTCATAAGTCAGACCCTTATGCTGACCAAAGGAGAAAACGCGGTCGGAACCCTCAGGCGGGCTGTCACGCATGATCCTAGCGGCGGCTGTGCGCCGAAGCTGCGGTGAGAAGAGGGTTTCACTGCCGCGGCCTTTGCCGGTATTGGTCCTTGAGGGAGTCAGCTCAAGGTTGGCTGGGTAACCCTCGAGCCTACCAGCGCTCGCATTCGACAGATGGACACACTCTGTGTCATCCTCCTCCACTGCGGCGAAATACGCCTGGGGCTTCGGCGCCGCCGGCTTTGCGGCTGCGTTGGCAGTTCCCCCAGACTGTGCTGGGGTTGTGGTGCCCTTGGGGCCATTGCCCTTACCGCTAAACTTGCAGGCAGCATCTCCGGCCCAATGGCCGATCACACCGCACTTCAGGCACCTACTCTTTGCCTTAAGCTCTGCCAACTTGGCCTTACGATCAGCAATAGTCAAATTGCTACGCACGACCTTCCCTCCGGATTTTCCGGAGGACTTGCCCTTGTTCTTCCCTTTTCCTTTTCCTTTCGCCTGGGCAAAGGCGGTCTGTGCCGCGTACGCAAGCTGAACTGACTCGGCATAGGAATCATCCAAATCGTCAACCTCAGCCTCATATGCCACTGCCGTATAGGCGTTGAGTTGCAATGCTAGGTCTTCATCATCAATCCATTCATCCGCATCATCTCCCCCAGACGCTGTGGCCTGGTATGCTTCTTCGCCGTAGCCGTCACCGTAGCCTTCCGCGGATTCCTGCTGTTCCTGGTGACCACACTCTGCGGCACTACCATCATACCCCATGTAGCCAAACTTAGGGTACTGTGGCTTAGCGTCGAAACGTCTCCAGGTCTTACCTGGGCCACTAGGGTCCTTCTGGGTAAGAAGACGTTCCTTCATGTGCACCACTGAGTGATGCTGAACAAGGACGCGTGCGTACTCATCCACGGTGTGTACGCGGGCGGCGGTCTTGACCATTAGCTGTTCGTTCCTTTCCAACCCTGAAAGCTCAACAAGGAGGTTAGCCCTCATTGCTTCAGAAAGGCGGATATCGGGATCTAGCTCACGCAAGGTCGACCACCACCGCTTTCGGCGGGCTATGTAAGACAACATAGGCTCGCCGGGCTGCTTTGCAAATGGGCCCGTCAGGAGCTGTCCCTGACGGAAAAGTTCGGACGCCTCTTCAGATTGAAGAGGGAAAGCTTGCCTCCTGATTTCTTCTATCAGGTAGTCGACGCCATCATGGCGAAGCAGACGTTCCAGGCCGACGTCGCGAGCAATGCAAAAGGCGTCTCCTCGGAGACCCTCCAAAATCTTGCTAACGCATTCGCTCATATCAAGCGACTCGTCCTTAATGTCTTGCAAGGTGTACACCGCCGGATCTGTGTCCGGCTCCTGCTCATCGTCGCCCGCCACTTGGCTGGGGTGCGACGGCAACGACTCCGCATCCTCATCTTCTGCCTCGGACGCGGGCTTAGTCCGTTTTGCGCTGGACGGACTGGCGGGTATACCGCTGCTTCCATCACCATCTGTGGGCGATGCACTGGTCCCCTGACTTGCCCTGCCACGCCACTTCCTTGGTGACTCGCTCTTGGCCCTTGCCGACTCGGCAAATCGCAGGTCCTTAAGAGCTTCACGCCGCTGCTTCTCCTTATGTTGCAGCACGCGGATCTGTGTCCGGAAACACCAATCGTGGAAGCCAGCAGCCGTACCGTCGTATATGTACGAACCGCTTTTCGTTTCTGCAGGGCTCAGGTTCTGTGACCAGAGATTGGGCTGGTAACGCAAACCTGCCACGCTCATGGCTTCAGATAGAAGGGGCCTTTGCGCCGCGACTATCACTACTCTACCCAACGGACCCCGGACCACAGGCTCTACGGGGGTGAAACACTAGTGGTTGTCCTCACAGCTCCGCTACCAGTTTGAAGCAGGAACTGGATTAGTGAGTGTCCAACCACACTACGAGCGCACTTTTTGGTCTGAGCCCAAGACGTCTGTCGTACAGGGTGCATTCAGATCTAACTCAAAAGACTACGCTCGCATGAGGACAGGTCAACACGGCGCTTCAAGACAGGGAAATTTCACAATGGTTTAGGCTTCAGGTTTAAGTTTAAAGTTCAGCCATCGGCACATAGATTTCTGTTACCCTCCTTCACATTTCGCATACACCCTAAGACAACGAAGCCCGCCAAAGGTGCAAACTTGCCCTGTGGCCGCTTCGGGCAAACTGGATACATGTTTCTACGATCCGTGACAGATCACAATCTGAAACATAGCTCATGGAACTCCGTCAAACGACACCGCCCGACGACCCAAACCCTTTATAAATCCTAAACCCCCAAACAGCCCTAGACCCTAAACAACCCAAAACCTTACGTAAACAGCCCTACGTGGACCTCCAAAGTATCTGGAATAATAGCCTTTAGTGGGTATTGGGCCATTATTTTACCTATTCCCAAAGGGTCCTAGGTGCTGTTATGGGGGATACTTGCCCAAATCATAATAAGGGTTCCTAATATAGAAACCCTACATTCTACTATATAGGTACTTTGGACCCTTTGGGATTTTGGGGGTTTAGGTGCACGCTGATTCCGAAACAACCCTTAACCCAACCATCACTGTCCGAAGACCCCGAGTCTCTGCTCCATGTAGGAAGCAGCTTAAGTTGCTTTGGTTTAGGGTTTAGGGTTTAGTGCTGAGTTTCTTTTTCGGCTGTTGTGTGTGTGTGTTGTTTTGCTGTTTGGGCCCCCACTGGCCTTTCACGCACTGGCTGGTGTGCAGGGGCTTCAGCCGAGAAGCACAACAGCAAAACGAAGCAACAGCAAAAAAGACAAAATCCCTTCCCCCCTACTCTAGACTCTAGAGCGATGGAACTTCGACAAATGGGAAGCCAGCATAAACCCTGAACAGCAGGTCGCAAGGACCTCACAATAAGCACAGAAATATAAGAAGCCCTAAAGCATGCTAAACCCTAGTTATAAGGCCCTAGACCCTAGTTAAGCCTTAAACTCTCAACCCTGATAGACCCCCTTAAGGAACTGGAACCCGTCTAGGCACTCTGATCGGAACTCTTAAAGGAACCTTTATAGGAAGCCTTATAATAATAGGAACCTTGGGAGGAACACACGAAAGCCTTCAGCTGGTTGTGCGCAGCCTCAAACTCGTCTATTGCCTCAAGCGGCTGACTTCAAAGACCCGTACACGCTTTTAGGGCTTAGGGTTCAGGGATTTAAGGGTTTAGGGGCTAATTGAAAGATCAGTGGACGTGGTATAGTTTAGTTCACCCTACTTGGAGGGTCGGGGGACTTAGTAACTTATTATTTCAGGGGCTTATAAGTACCATAACCCCAATTAGGGTCCCTGTTAGGGTACTTATAGGTCTACTTACTACCTACTTACTAAGTCTCCCGACCCTCCAAGTAGACCCTAAACCCCTACATCCATACGGCTCTCAACTCTAAACCCCCGCGGCCTGAACTCTAAACTCCAAACCCCAAAAGCAAGTAGATAAGGCCTGAATACTACATACTGTTGAGGTCAACCCTAAACCCTAAAGCCCTAAGCCCTTAGCCCTAAACCCTAAACCCTAGACAGCTCTGGGCTCGAGGGCCTTCCAGCGGCAGAGCGGATCCCGCTGACACTCGAGCATGGAAGCGGTGCTGGACGGTTTTGCCACTTCTTCTGTGGCGAACAAACTGGAAGTGCTGTGCTCCCGAGGTTTCGTGACCTGCTATGAAGTGGGCTTTACGAGCGCGGATGATGAGATAAACGTGGCGGTCCGAGTCTTGACGACGAAGACTTCCCACCATGGTGAGGTGGAAATCGTGAACCTGAAGTTGTCAAATGTCATGAAGGAGGGCTTGGAAGCGAGGAAGCCCCAAACCACGGGAGAGATCCTTCGCTTCGACTCCACCAACTTCCCTGGTATGGTCCAAGCTGGCCAGGTATACATGTTGATTGGAGCAAAAGTGAAGAAAGACACGGAGAGGAAGAAGTGCATCGTCTTCCCCGACTTCCAGGAATGCAGGGCTTCGGTCTTGCTGCCTACCCGCACAGACTCCGTGGCTACAATGGTGGAGCTCTTTTGTGGTGGTATGTCAGGGTGGGCAACGGCCTCAAAGTTCTTGCCTATGGATATTGCTATGAGAGTCGACAATGATGGTTTCGGCATATCCAGTGTACTGCTGAACGACCCTGACACGGTGCTTTTCTCTGGGGTTGGGGACCAGGCGACCTTCAATGCCTTCTGGGGCGATGTTATTGATCTCCGATGGTTGGGAGGGACACACGACAAGAACGTGGAGGTGATATGTGCTTCGCCCCCGTTCTTCCCCTTCCTCAATGGAAACAATGGCCTTGCTGAGGGTAGAAAGGCCCTGGGATGGTGGCAATTGTTTCTGGTACTCAGGCTGGTACAGCGAAGAGTGTTTGTCCTGGAAACAGTGCCGAGGGCTGCTCACCATGATGACCTCCAGCTGATCAAGGACATCCTGGCCTGGTGTGGATACAGATGCCTCTGGAAAGGTTTTGTGGATGCGGCCCAGCACACGGCAGCCGACCGCAACAGATTCTGCATGATCTTCTGGAATTCTGCTGATTACCCGGCTGCTGGTGCTATGTTCAACATGGTGAAGCTTCTCCCCCAGAACCACCTCGCATGCCATGGATCTATGTGGACCCACATACCAGAAGAGCTGGAGGAGAACCTGAGAATCAAAGGTGATAGCTTCACCAAAATCACCAGCAGAGAGCTGTTGCCTCCCTGGCAAAGATGCCTCCCAGGATCGGCCTTCGAAATCCGTATGGTGGACCAGTCACAGCCATTGCCGATGGTCCCATCCAACTATGCTACAGTCCACGAGCTGCCATGGATCATCTTGAAGAAGAAGGGCATGTACCTGCCCACAATGCCTGTGGGAAGGACTGGGGCAAGGATGATCTCCAAGTGGGAGACCCTCAGATGTTTTGGCTTCTCTGGGAAGGTCATCCTGCCGGCCTTTGAGGATGATGCCTACCTCCTGTTGGCTGAGAGCTTGACTCCCCCTCAGGCAATGAAGATCTTGGTCTCAATTCTGGGACACAGGAGCGAAGACCCCATGAACAACGACGAGATGGCCCGCTTCTTCTTGGAAGGCTTGCAGGAACTTCGTGATAGCTGGGTCTCCTTCGACCTCTTGGAACCGTTTGATTGTGATGGATGGTCAATCTTGACCCTCAAGGGAGACCAGGCTGCCACAAGCATAAATGGTACGTTGAGGAACAGACTCATTGCCAAGAAGGTGCAGCTGGACAACCTCACCTTCAGAAGGAGCCAGGGACAACCTCAGGTCCTACCTGAGCAAACCAGGGTGATCTATGAAGAACTCAGATCAGATGATGAGGACCAGGATGGCGAGCCCCACAGGCTCTTTCCAGTCACAGGTGGCAGCGTTTGGATCTACCTCCAGCCCTCCGAAAGGACCCACGATGTCATCAAACAAGTGGCTGAGTTCTTGGCTATCCCTCCCCTGGACCTTGCACTGGTGAAGATGTCAGAGCCAACCCAGGAGACCGAGAACTGGATCATTGCAGGTGAAGTGCCGACCAGACATGATGTGGCACTGGTACTTGTGGATACCGCCTTACCCGAGGCCCACTGGTTGCCATCCCAACTGCACTGGCACAGCCTCAGGATGACATGGAGCCCCCACCACAGTGGTGCACCAGATATGATTACCCTGAATGGCAAGTTCGTGCCAACATGGCCTATCAACATCTCCTCAGAAAAACCTCTTGGTTGTTCGATGGGACGGCCACTCTGAGGCAGAGAATGCCAAGGACCTGGACATTTTCCAGAAGCTTGATGGACCGCCAGACCCACCGGCATCGCCCCCTGGAGAGGATGAAGAGAGCAGCCCAGGAGGTTTAGATGATGACGACCACCAAGATCCCCCTGATGAAGGTGATGATGCAGACCGAGCCCATGGAGAACCTGAGGACCCAGACGATGGAGATCACAACCCGGTGCCATCCTCCATTGCCTCTACACTCCCGGCAACAATTCCATTTGAGGCGTTGTCTCCGATGACACCACCCAGGATGCACGACTCACTGGAGCCACAGAACATGGAGCCTGACCATGATTGGCCAGGAGGTTTGTGCAACCAGATGAAGTACAAGCGGGAGATGGAAATGAACTTGCAGGAGAGCATCCCCCCTACAATCAACTATGGCCCTGCCAGATCAACTATGATGAGGAATGCCATTTACTTGGAATTCCAAGGCCAGTTCCTTCCCTGTGCAAACGCGGACCCTCGTACTCTGGAGCAGGTGGTCCTGGATGAATGGGGAGTGCCACTCGGATCACTCTATTTCATCACCCAGGGCAAGCCCATCGCTGGTTCTTCTGCGTGCAGTAGGATTCCGATTGGTGCTGTTGTACATGCTCGGATCCGAGTCCGAGGTGGCACACATGGGATGATGGCAAAGCTCAAGGGCCTGCTCAAGCAAAAAGGTGTGCCAGAGAACCTCCTTGATGAGAGAGTGGAAGAAATCAAAAAGCAGATAGGAGAGCGAGGCATTCGTGATGCTTACTCCAGCTTCGACCCGTGGACACAACTCAAAGCATCATGCTCCACACGTCTGGTGAAGGAGGCTGAAAGCCGAAACAAACCAAAAACAAAGGGCCTGCAGCCTGATGATGACCCTCTCCAATCCAACGACCCGTGGTCTGCGGCACTGCAAGAAAGGTCACAGTGGACTTTGGAGCCCAGCTTCTTCAGAACAGAAGGGGGGAGCCACCCTGTTGCCCTCACAAAAGTGACCCATGGTGCCACGGGCATTGCTTTGGTGACAGAACGTGAAGCAGAACTGTTACTTCAAAATCAAGATGTTATGTCTACGGAGGAGCTCGCCGCCCTGGTCGTCGGCACACACATGCAGCTCAAGGGCAAGTTCCCCATCCAGGAGGTCGAGATCCCTTGCCGTAACCAGGAGGACCGACGAATCTTGATCAAAGCCCAGATGATCAACTTGGGTGCCAAAAAGATTTCGCTTTATGGTGAGGATGCCAAGATCAAGGTGGACGAACTGGATGGAATCATTCTGGCAGCTGAGGTGCTCAGGAAGGAGGTTCCACAGTGGGATGATGTTTTGGAAGGACCTCTGAAATACATCAAGAAACACATCCCCACCTTGAATGAGGCAACCTTTGCGGCATGGGGAAAGAAGTTCTTCTTGCAGGGAAGACAGACACAGGATGCGAAGAATGCAGACTCCTGTTTCATCCTCCTACGAATCAGACGGGACTTCCGGGATGCCACCCTCAGAACGATGGCGACTGGCATTTATGTGGCACCGAGGAGTGCAGACAACAAGGCGGACCCCTCCTTCAAAGTCATTTGGTTCGCTGACAGACCTGTGTCTGAACTTTCAGTCCTTGCCAATGCGGAACCCCAAGCCTTCGGAATCGTCAGGAGTAAAACTGGCTACGGCATCAGGGTCAAGGTGGATGACTTCACACGACTCAAGCAGAAGTGGCAGCCGAGTTGGCAGCCTCTTGCGGACACTCCCTACCACTTGGCCATGAACCGGTACTATGATGTCCAAAACCTGCCACTCAGCTGCTCCAAAGTGGAGGTCCAGAAGTTCCTCAACCAGATCCACTGGAAAAGCCTGGCAATCAGGCAAATCCAGCCAAGAACCTGGCTAGTTGGAGCGGAGGATGAACCCCCGAGCCATGTCCACCTGGCTGACCATGGGACCATCCTCATCACTGAGAAGTCTCCCAAGGGAAACGGCAAGGGCAAGAGCAAAGGTGGAGGTAAGAATACAGGCAAAATGGCGCCATGGATTGTGGCAGGCACACCAGGGATCTTCTCTGGTCAAGCACCCGCGAGCTCGACCCGACCGATGCAACTGGAGCCAGACATGAATGGTGTTGCTGAACTGGAAGACCGGCTTCAAAAAAGGATGGAGCAGTTGCATGCCGAACAAAAGTCCGCGCATGCCATCCTCAAGGAGGACTTCCGTGCTTTCCAGGAAACGGTCCAGATCCAGAATGCAAAGCAGGAGGCGGTCAACGACAAGTTACAACAAGGCCTCAGTGACATTTCGTCGACTATCGCTTCGCAGCTCAATCAGCATGCTGCAACGATCACGAATGCCCTCCTCCAGAGCAGACAGGAAATCAAC